ATTTTGTACTCAATTGTAGTCTAAGTTATATATTATAACTTAGACAAGATAGGATCTGAAGCAATCAAGTTTGCAGCCAAGTATGGTTGAGTTGTAGTAGGTAGAATAGTTGGTAGAAAATCATTTTATTTTGTACCAATGTATGGCTATACGTATCAGCCGGTTTCTCATCATTTAGTGTGAATGAATTTCATCATTTTCGTCCTCTTTGTCTTCTAAAAATCCATCAGTGGTATCAGAGTTGAAAATTGATCTTAGAAAGGCTGGAAAAATGCTGGAAAACAGAACAAAACCGGTAAGAAAAAAATTGGTAGGCTTTGCAAATATGGTAAGCTCTATTAAATCCAGTAAGTTCAAAGTAAATCCGGTAAGTTGTGTAAAACTCGGTAAGCTTTTTGCAAATCTGGTAACTTCAGAAAATCGGTAAGTGTTTGAAAATTCGATAAGTTATGTAAAACCTGGTAAGCTCTTTGCAAATGCGGTAACTTCAACTTCTTGTTTTTTTCTTCTTTCAACCAGAAATTCTGAGAGAAAACCAGTAAGGAACCTTCACTCGCCAAATGTGTGATTGAGTGATATGACTTCAAGTGGCTTTACCTTCAGCATTCACAGGAGAAAATTATGACTTCTGGTCTGCAAAGATGAAGGCATGCCTAAAAGCTTATGACCTTTGGGAAATTACAGAAACCGAAGTTGAACCACCTCCGTTAAGGGTTAATCCTACCATTGCTTAGTTGAAGCAGCATAGTAAGGAAATAGCTAAGAAGTTTAATGCCCTTTCTTGCATTCAATTAGATGTTTCAGATGCTATATTCACAATGATAATCACTTGTGAAACTACAAAGGAAGCATGAGATAGGTTGAAGGAGGAATTTAGAGGCAATGAAAGGACCAGACAAATGCAAGTTCTAAACTTCAGGAAGGAGTTTGAAACTTTGAAGATGAAGGATTCAGAGACGGTTAAGGAGTTTGCTGACATGTTGATGAAAATGATAAACCAGATTAGATAGCTTGGAGATGATTTGCCAAACAATAGGGTAGTGGAGAAGGTACTAATCAGTTTACCAGAAAAGTTTGAATCCAAAATATCTTCACTTGAAGATTCAAGAGATTTGGCTAGCATTTCCTTGGCCGAATTGGTGAATGCTCTTCAAGCCATTGAATAAAGGAGATTGTCCAGGTAAGAAGAATAAGATGAAGGTACTCTGTTTGCAAGGGAGAAGTAGAGAACTCAAACACATTTTGGTGGAAAGAAACCACAAAATGAAAAGAAGGAAGTATGAGCTAAAGGCTCTGGCAAGGATACTAAGTATCCTCCATGTCCTCATTCCGAAAGGAAAGGCCACTCACCTAAATGGCGTTGGTTCAGACCTGGTTTGCAATGCATGTCTTGCAAGCAATTTGGACATGTGGAAAAGGTCTGCAAGAGTCAAAAGGAGAAGGAGTTACAGCAGGCCAAAGTTGCAGAAGATCAGTCTGAAGGGCATTTGTTTTCGGCTATAAATTGTATAGCTTCCAGCAGGGTTGAAACTTGGTTGCTTGACAGTGGCTGCACTCATCACATGACATCAAATGTAAAAATTTTGTGGGGAGTATATTGAAGTGAAAGGTATGGGCAAGGTCTCAGTTCAGACTCCAACAGGTAACGAGTTCATTTCTGATGTCTTATATGTTCCAAATATTGATCAAAATTTGATAAGTGTAGGCCAATTAATTGAGAAGAGCTATACTTTAATATTTAAGGATAGTAGTTGCACAATTTTGGACCAAAATAATTTGAAGTTGATGACAGTTGAGATAAGGCACGGAAGTTTCCCATTAGAGTGGAAAAATATGAATTCACATGTCGTCACTAGCACTGTGGTTGAATCTGAATTATGTCATAAACGGTTTGGGCATGTTAATTACACTTCACTTAAGCATTTAAATGAGCATGAGTTGGTTGAAAATATGTCAAGAATATGTGATGCTACACGTGTCTATGAAATCTGCCAAAAAGGAAAACAAACCAGACTTCCTTTCCCCAAAAACCAATCCAAGAGAGCTCAAACCGGACTTCAACTGGTTCATTTTGATGTCTATAGACCTATGAAGACTTCAACCTTGAATGGCAGTAGATATTTCTTTCTATTTATTGATGATTTAACTAGAATGTGTTGGGTTTATTTCCTTAAGATGAAGTCTAAGGTGCCTGCAGTATTTCAGAAGTTTAAGAATCTTATGGAGAATGAAAGTGACTGCAAGATAAAGTCTATAAGGACTGATAGTGGGACTGAATATACCAGTAATCAGTTTAACAAATTTTGTGAGGAAGTAGGGATTAAACATCAGTTAACAATCCCTTACTCACCTCAGCAAGATGGGGTCTGTGAGAGAAAGAATAAAACATCAATGGGGATGGCAAGATGCTTAATGCTGGGAAAGAATGTACCTAAGGTTTTTTGGGCCGAGCCAGTGAACACTTCAATTTACCTACTCAACAGGTTGCCTACTAAAGCTTTGGACAAGTTAACTCCCTATGAGACTTGGAATGGAGTTAAGTCTAACGTTTAACATCTGAAAGTGTTTAGAAGTGTGTGCTATATGTACATACCTGATGCCAAAAGAGATAAGCTAAGTCAGAAAATAGAGACTGGAGTTTTGGTTGGATACTGTGATAATGCTAAGGGCTACAAGATTTATAATTCTCAAACCAGCAAAGTTGTTTCCTACAGGGATGTCAGATTTGATGAAAGTTCTACATGGAATTGGGAATCAAATGCAATGAATAAGTCTGAGATTTTGAGATTGATCTATTAAACAAAAGATGTTGGTAATGATGAAGAAGAAATGGAAGATGATGCTGAACCCGAAGGTGAATCAAATTCAGAAAATGAAGTGTTGAGAACAAGATCACTTCAGGATATTTATGCTAATTGTAATTCTGCAATTCAGGAGCCTGCAAACTATAATGAAGCTGTACATTCTAAGGAGTGGATAGAAGCCATGAAGGATGAGCTTATAGCAATTGAAAAGAATGAGACTTGGCTGCTTGTTGACAGACCAAGAAATAAGAATGTTATAGGAGTTAAGTGGGTATTCAGGACAAAGTTGAATGCTGATGGCTCAATCAATAAGTTCAAAGCTAGGTTAGTTGTTAAAGGCTATGTTCAGTAATTTGGGATTTATTTCACTGATACAATTGCTCATGTTCCCAGACATGAAACAATAAGATTGTTATTTGCAATGGCTGCTCAATCAAAATGGAAGATATATTAGCTGGATGTAAAATATATCTTCCTAAATGGGCATTGAATGAGGACATTTTCATTGAGCAACCTGAAGGCTTTATCAAAGAAGAAGAAGAAGATAAGGTGTATTTACTAAGAAAAACCTTATATGGCTTGAGGCAGGTGCCAAGGAGTTGGTATAGCAGAATTCACAGTCATCTCAGCAACCTTGGTTTCAACAAGAGTGTTAATGAGCAAACATTATCAAACTAGTGGAGGAGGATCTGCTCATCATCTCATTCTATGTAGACGATCTATTAATTAAAGGGAGTAATGCAACCTTAATTGAAGAGGTAAAGGATGAATTGAATAAGGTTTTTGAGATGACGGACTTAGGTGAAATGAAATATTTTCTTGGAATGGGGATTGATCAAACAGAGGATGGTATTTTTGTTTGCCAAATGAGGTATGTTAAAGAAGTCTTAAAGAAGTTCAATATGGAGAATTGCAAATCAGTTAACACTCCATTAGTTCAAAATTCAAGGCTGATGAAAGATGACGGTGCATAGAAAACTGATGAAAAGGTTTATAGGAGCTTGGTTAGATGCTTGCTCTACCTAACAGCCACAAGACCAGACTTGATGTTTGCTGTTAACCTGCTATCTGGATTCAGGTAAGAGACAAGTGAAATTCATTTCCAAGCTGTAAAAAGAGTGCTGAGGTATATTAGAGGAACAAAGGAGTTTGGAATCAGTTTCAAGAAGTCAAAAACTCTGGTTTTAATTGGCTTTACTAATAGTTATTGGGCCGATTCTGTTGATGATATGAAGAGCACTTTAGGCTATGCTTTCTATGCTGGTTCAAGTCTTGTCTGCTGGAACTCTATCAAACAAAAAAAGGTGGCTCAATCCACAGCTGAACCAGAGTATATAGCAGCAACTGAGGCAACTAATCAAGCAATTTAGCTGAGAAAAATTCTGAATGATCTGAAGCACCAGCAATCTGAGGCAACTACCATTCTTTGTGACAACCAATCTGCAGTAGCAATTGTGAAGAATCCAGTGTTCTATTTAAGACTAAACACTTAAATATCGAGTACCATTTCATAAGGGAAGCACAAGAGAAGAAGGAAGTAGAATTAAAGCATTGCAGCTCAGAAGAACAGATTGCTGACATCTTCACCAAAGCTTTACCTAAGGAAAGATTTGAAACACTAAGTGAATGTCTTGGTGTTTCCAACAAAAGTGTCAAGGAAGAGTGTTGAACTGTGTGACACTTTTGTTGTCAACAAACATTAGTTTTTTGTTATGGTTTGTCCTAAGTATTTTGTACTCAATTGTAGTCTAAGTTATATATTATAACTTAGACAAGATAGGATCTGAAGCAATCAAGTTTGCAGCCAAGTATGGTTGAGTTGTAGTAGGTAGAATAGTTGGTAGAAAATCATTTTATTTTGTACCAATGTATGGCTATACGTATCAGCCGGTTTCTCATCATTTAGTGTGAATGAATTTCATCATTTTCGTCCTCTTTGTCTTCTAAAAATCCATCATACCTTCCTTTGTTTACATCTTTGCCACACTTTCTGATTATAGGATTGTAGTCAGTGGAAGTGTCAATTGGCTTACTACCAAGCATCCTGACCTCCTTCAGTAAATCAATGATATATTTTCGTTGTGAGACCACAGTATCTCTACTTAATTCAGCTTAGTTGTGACCTTTCCACATACTGGTCTATGCAAAAAATGAGCAGGTTATTTAACTTGAAAAGTTTATTCAAAGAGAAACAAATTACATCTGTGCCATTTGTTGTACATTTACTGGATAACAATCTGATGTTGGGCCGGAGTAAGCTCTTCGTGCCAGAATTTGATTCACGGCTTGTGTGGGATGAAAAGCATCCCAGAAAATATACTGATTCCTATTAGCACATGGGACTGAGAATGGAAGACATGTTATCTGCCCTTGGTTTCTTCCAACTCCACAGCATCCTCTGTCTATCACACTAAATCCTGCAAGGCAAGCATATCTCTTAATTGGATAGAGCATTACCGAATAGAAATACTGTACCTAGATTATAGTATACTTACCATATTCCTTGGAATTGTTTAGGATGTCATAAAATGCTCCAAAAGTATTTCCATAGGCGTAAATAGATCCTGTATAGTTTGAGTTTAGCTGATCAACAAGAGATATGAGTCGTGTGTTAAACATCCTGACTACTTCATTTGTGAAGGCCACACACTTCCCTGGAGGAGTAAGTCCAGTGGCCAGTTGATTAGGAATGCAACCAAGCGGCCCTATTCCTCCAATAAAGAATTTCCTTAGTCCCAAGTTTCGAAGTGCCTACGAACAAATTAACTCCCACGTTTTCAAATTCATCTATATGTTTTAGATGTAGAAACGAGGTTATGATTTTTTTGCTATTTACCAAGATTTGCCTGGTGTAGCGTTTAACCAGAATATCAGCATAGTCTTTGGGGCTGTAAACATAGCCAGTGGAGAAAATTGAAGGAAGCAAATAATTATTGATGTAATCATTACTACCATGGATTAATATAACCAGTGCCTTGGCCAAATAAATGCTCAATTCTTGATCATCCATTTGGCTTTTCAATTGATTCAAGTTGTCTTCAAAGTTCTGAACTTGATCTGATAAGCTGAATCTTTCACCCTATCATATAAACCATTTGAGGATGAAAAAATGAAGAAAATATAAAGATCTAAACAGCGAAAATATAATATAGATATATTAGTACAAGATTTTGTCCTGTTTCTTCAAGAATTCCTCCAGCAGCAGAAGCATAGTTCACTCCCCTCAGAATGTTTTTTCCAGTAGCAAAAGGATTTGTATAAGCTGGTAGAGCTGGAATTTCCAACAAGTCTCCTACAAATTCACAAGAAAACCACGCATTGTGGTCAAAGCAGACCCTGTATTTCTTCTACAGAATCTCCTCATTGTTGTAGAGTAACTAGAAAATTTCAATTCAGGTGTAGAGATAGTTGATGAACTCATAAAAGATTTGGCTATTTTTCTTGAACTAAAAGAGAAATAAATTTTAACATAGCAGTAGATTACTAGATTTGACCTTTTCTCGAACTCAGAGAAATAAGTTTTAATATAGCATTTCGAAAACACATAAATGAAGGCTAAATAATATTAACATAAAGTAAGAAATCATAGTTACCCAAGTAATCTATAATGGTTTTTCCATTGGAGAATCTACCAGAAGGTCCTTCACTGAAATCCACCCCATAAGGTACGTAATTGGCTTTTGCTAAGGAATTCAAGTAGTTGTTGTTTCCCGGATCAATTATCGAATCACCAAAAACAAACATTGCACTAAAGTGTGGATCTGCCATGCCTACCCCACTTGAAGAAACAGCAACCAAAACTGCACCAAATAAGATCAAATCCAGCCATTTTATCTTTGTCATTTCTTTATCATCAATGTTTTGTGTTACCAACAATTTCGACTCAGACTTTAAGAGAGATATTCTTGCTTTCAGATCATGATTTTATTGTTGGGGTGGTGAGGGAACACAGGCAGGAATTCGTACTTTTGGCTGATGTGCAAGCCTACTTTTTGCTTTTTTTAATTTCAGTTACAGATTCTTTGTCATTTTGCATTTTCGTTTGGGGATTTTTGGCGTGAACAGTCAGGATTTTTCTTTTCTTTTGATCTGTTGATGTCCATATGCAGACAACAACCAAGTCACTGGTTTATCTGTTTATCTTGTAAACTGCATATGAACCGTTGATGTTTGTCCAGGATGGTGAAAATTTTTACAACAATGCTAGATGTACATTAAAGTTTGACATTGTTGTTGCCACTCCATTGTTTTCAAAAAAAGTGTTGTGGCAGGAAAGGTTTTTTTTTTAAAAAAAACTGTCCAATGTGATCTTCACATGGCACAATGTAAAGGATGATGTAAAACTTAGTGTACATGTAGCATGATTCAAATTTTTAATAGCTTGATTGTTCCTCTACTTTTTCTTATTAATTAATTGCAACGAAAAATGTAAACGAACTTTGTGAAAAACCACGTGACACCACCAGTACAAGGTATGCCGCAGGTTGAGGATAAAGCCATGTTATTATTTTCGTCTTTAGGAGAAGTATGAGTTTGTAAATCAAAGCATACGGCCTGTCATGGTTACGAGTCTCTCTTATAATCGTGACTCTTTTCGTAGTCAACAAGGTTGTAACTTTAGGAAAAACTTCGAATCAGGAGGGCAATCCTCCAGGTTATGTAACTGCACTCCAAACGGACACAGGTGAAGAGTATACTTATATGGAGCTTGAGAAAATATGTCAAAGGTACTCGGCAAAATGACCACATAACTTTGGAAGAAGCGGTATTCTCTTATATTTTTATTAGGAAAGCGACACTTTTCTGGATTTTTTGCGCCACTTGTTGAACTAGGAAATGCACTCCACAAACTTTTCCCTCTGCCTAAGGAGCTTAAACGACATGCACAGGGGCTTGCTCAAGTTGGGTGAACCTTTTTCCCATCCAGGGTGGCTAATAGTCATTACTATGACACGTAAGTCAATGAATAAAATGTGATATTTTAGTAGAATTAGTTACAAGCTAGCAAATAAAGAATCTCCATTTGTCATATATCCTCTTGCTCCAATTTGAACATCAAAACTAATGAGTTTAGATGGCAAAAATTTTGGCTATGTGAGAGGAATTTGTTGATCCAATTTCTATTGTCAACAACATTCTTAAGTTATATATATATATATATTGAACACCCGTGACGTATCATATAAATCAATTGGTGAATTTTGAACTTAATTCAAATGTTGAGGTCCACCATAAGTTGATCCACCATTGAATTTATATGACACGTCATCGATGCTTAAGATAAGATGAACATCACTAATCATTGGATCATTCATGTACATCTGTTGAGTTGGGCATGAATGATGTGCTCAGCATCGGTGCTCATCTTATGTTAAGCACAGATGATGTAACATGTTACGAGTCTGCGCCAGACCCGCCACCTCACCCTCCACATGTCATCAGGGTTGACCCACACCAGCCACGCATCGGACGAGGTGATTGCCCATGGGACGAGCTAACTGCATAAGCCAAAGTGATCCCAACGGGACGAACTGAATAGGCGTCAGCAAACCAACCGAACCCATCCGCAAATATATCACAGATGCAAAGGCCCGCACTCCGCTTCTACAACGCTGCAACGCCTCGCCCGCTTCTACAACGCTGCAACGCCTCGCCACGCCTTATCGAATATCTCTTGTAAAAAGATCTTTCCAAAGTCAAACCACTGACTGATGGGACGTGTGACAGGACCCAAACGGTCAAATCAGCTCTTTCTGTCAGAAACATTCAATGCTAGCCAACCTACGGAGGGACGGATTGACACCTAGGATGAGACTAGCCCTGAGGATCTGGCAACACATGTATCCTCATCCAACGGCTCTCCTCTTCCCATCCTTAATATAAATACCTCCACCTTGCACTTGAAGAAGGATTGGAATCCAACACACTCAAAACTACCACTACATTGTGAAATTAAGTATTCTCTTCCCTCAAATATTATTATTTTTCGATATACACTTTGTCAACCACTTCTCGGCTAGTGTTCCACCGCCAGTGAACTCTTCTTCGATTGAACTTTAAAACTGACTTGATCGTCGGAGTTCTTGCGGTCGCTCCCAACCCCTCTAAGAAAGGCCACAGGTGACTAACGACGTGCCACGTGTGCAGGAAGAGCTAACTTGAAGACATTTTCTGTTGGCCACATGTTGGAGCCATTTTTTGAGGTCAACAGATTGGCGCCATCTGTGGGAACATACTTTAACCACAAGTCTTCCCACCAAAAAGTTGCTTGAATAGCCGGTTGATGCTCTCCCGTGAAAAGGGATTGGTTCTTGAAAAAAGATCATTTGCACATCACCACTCTCGCTTCGGACCATGAGCTCCAACGAAGAAGAGGTGAATACAAGGAAAACAAGGGATGTCTATGAAGAAAAGATTATCAGGACAAATGTTACACTAAGTGGCTTCACCACCATTATCGAAGAGGTGGTAAGATTGCCGCACGCTTAATTGCCTAGGTGGCCCACCTGGCTGCCAACATGAGGACCATCGCAGCCCAGAATGCAGCTATGCAAGAGCTCATGCAAGTACAAAATCAGGGCGGATTTCAACCCCCCCAAATCCTCAACAATCAGCCCATAGGCGAACTGAGACTAAATCCAGTTGGAGAACTCATCTTAGTCCCCAGGGAGAAGTCCTTACTGAAAGAAAAGTGGTTATGGATACCTCCCACTATACAGCCGCTCCGGCTGAAAGTGCCCCTGCAGGTGAATATAATTTCCCACCGAAGTACGAAGAACAACCCCAAAGGTCCGCCAGTGTTTTTGATCGGATCGGACGGGCACCTAGAAATAGGAACTAGCCCGCGTACCTAACGGCCCCCCAGCAGGACCGCGCGCAGAGTGAAGTCCAAGCCCAGATTGGGGAAATAGAGCTGAAACTGCCCAGCATCCACCTTGCCCAGCAGTAGAGGAGAATATGTCCGACGAACCGTGCAGGTCATATGAACTTGATGATGGTGATGACAATTTTCCCTTCTCCAGGGAACTTTGCACATTTCCGATGCCTCACAACTTTGTCCCTCCTAAGATTCCCAAGTATGAAGGGAAAGGCGATCCAGAGAAGCGTCTCAACAAATATAAAACTGAAATGAGCCTAAGAGGAGCCTCATCGACTTTGAAATGCATGGCATTCCATCTAACTCTAGGAGGAGCTGCGGAAGTATGGTACAACATATTGGCACCGCTTAGCATAAGAAGTTGGACAGACTTGTAAAAGGCATTCCTAAACCAGTATCTTTCTAGAAAGGAGGGAGATGCGCCAATTCAACACTTGCAAGACATGAGGCAAACAGTAGGGGAGACCCTAAAGAGCTACCTTGCTCGCTTTACCGATAAGATAACCTACTGTGAACAAGTTACAGACAAGGAGGCCCTTTCAGCCCTGAAAGGAGGGTTGAACATGAACACTTTGTTTTGGAGAGATGTCCGAAGCAAGAATCCTTTGACGTATGATGAGTTGGTGAAATTCATGAAGGTTGAGATTGTCAACGAAGAGATGATCGACCATAGAAATAGGGTTGCCCAAGGGCTCCCACCTCCTTCGATGCAGATAGGTAAGGGACCTACCTCTCAAATAGTAATCCAACAGTGGACTCAGGCCGGACACACTATGGCTTCCACTTTGGGACAAGCACTAGTCACTGCCACTCTGAATGCAGTCCCCACCTTGACTTATGAAAATGTTGGGCCAAACACAAGCAATCCAACTAAAAACACTGGACGACACTCAACCTCTAGAAATATAGGAAGAGGTGGGAGGCCTAGAGATAGGCCAGTAAGTGTGACACTACTATACCATTCATCGTTATTATGGCCATGACATAAGCGAATGTAGAGGGGTAAATAGGCCCTCAAGCAACCCCCGTGACTCCAGATACCACCGTTATCAGAATAACAATCCGAGGCGAAGCCCCCCTCGAAGAGGTGAAACGAGGAGACACCCTTCCTACAACAACAGAAACAATGATAGGGACGAGCGTCGAAACGGGCAGCGTCCTAAGAGAGATTCAGCCGCCTCGAATGAGCAGCAACCCATTCTCAAGATCGACACCATCATTGGTGGACTCCATGTGGGAGGTGAATCAAAAAATGCACAAAGGAATTACGCCATGGAGGCGAGAGCCCCACCAATGACTAACTATATAGCCAACCAATCATAAAGCGGCAGGGTTGCATAGCCTATTACGTTCCAGGAAGATGCTGCAAATGTGCACTTCCCACACTGTAACGCCCTAGTAGTCAGAGCCGTGGTCGCCTTCAACAGGCTGAAACGTATGTTGGTGGATAACAGCAGTTCGGTCAACATTTTATTTGGGACGACCTTTGACAAAATGGTAGTGGATCATGAACTAACTCCAATGAGCTCACCCTTTTATGGATTCACCGGAGATAGCATAATTCCTAGAGCAAAATTACTTTGGCTGTCGAGATGGGGCCTTGCCCAAGTGGCACATCATTTCATGGAGTTCCTAATTGTTGATCGCCGATCCACTTATCACAGAGCTTTAGGAAGGCCCGCTCTGAAGGAATTGTGGGTAGTCACTTCTATCTACTACCTCTGTATGAAGTTCCCCACAGAACGAGGGATCCTACTGTCCGAGGCGATTAGATGGGGTCCAGGAAGTACTATCTCAATTCCCTAAGGAAGGTAGAGCCACGAGTTAACGTGGTGTTAGACGCTGAAATGTCAGAGTCCCCTGAGGAAGGGCAACTTCCTATACAAGACATTGTCATGGCAGAGGCCAGACCTGAAGTACCCTTGGAAGAACTGGATCCCAGGGTGATTGAGCCGAAATCCCAGAA